CTTGTTGTTTTCAATCACTCGATCAGAATTACAACAAGAACCATTATCAGATCATCTTGATTAACATCAAGAACGCACCGCCACGTCTAAAACCTTAATCTAGAGAAGAAGAACTAGCTTTTGTCCTCTACGAACCCCATCAAGTGGGTGATTATTGAGATGATCCCAAATTAAAATTTTACCTGGAAAGTGTTCCATAGTGAGAGACATAAACTAGCAGAAGCAAGAAAAAGGTCGCCAAGGATTCCAATTAGTTTGAGTTTCCAACACTTCGTACAATGGCTGTGATGAAGACTGTTCCAAGAAAGATCCAATTGAATGGCCCTTCTAAAGGGTTACGACCAATGCTTCCGAAATCGACACAAAGACTGCTATAATCTTAATCTGATTTCTTGAGCTCGTTAAATCCAACTTCTCCATCCTATAATCAAGAAGCAAATCAACCATCAGAACTATGTGTATAAATTATCTACTAGTGAACTTATTCACTTTCAAAATTTTCAAATTTGACAGATTCCAGTGGGGTCAATCATGCCAATGCCGGCACAGTTCTCTCTGTCCCATTTCAGCCCGTCCCAAGGTAAGCAGGGCTGGCACGGCTCGACTTCACAAACCGGCAGGGCATGGCCTAAGCCCGGCTGATAGGGGCAGCTCGACTCACTTTGATACAAGCTGGTGATCTTCAATTGCTGTTTTTTTTGCAAAAGGGATAGAGGCAAGCCAAACCTGAAGATAACAGCAAGCAGAAAAGTGAAAGCAGGGACTAAATTGCTCATAACCAATGCTAATGTGGGGGAGCTGTAATTCACACCAGTAAAAACACAGTTCTGCTGCATCAAAGTGATCCTACACTAAATATCCAAAATGATTTTCCATCAATATCAATGAAATGAAAGAAACCCTTTTTATATCTCAAGAAATTAAACTTCAGTTTCTAGAAGAAATGGAACAATTACCCAATAATACTGAGGAAAAAGAATTTCCGGAGGAGCAAAACTGGGAAGAGGTCTCTTTGTTCTGCAAAAAACATCAACAAGAAAGAAGCCATATGGACAATGTAAGAGGAAAAAAAAAGGATTCATGTACTTAAAAGCTGATTTTCTAGATAAACGGACATACTTCCGAAAAAAAAAACTGCTTTTAAGTAAGATCAAACTTATCGTAAAAAAGGAAGAACCTTATGAAGATAAAAACTGGGAAGAGAATGAGAGTGGCAAGGGCATTTGAGTAAACAACAAATATAAAGTAGCTCACCCCTTTAGACATGGCTGCTTTGCTGAGTGTCGTTAAGCTTACATCGGCACACTCCACCATAAACATTGCTGCATATGGCACAAATTCCTTCAAACAGGACTTCAATCCCATCTCTCTCTCTCTCTCTATGTTGTTTATGTAATACAAGCTTATCTTACGTTTTTGAGTAAAAATTACAGTAATATTACTAGTTTACTGCATGATTTTGACAGCTAACTTCGTTAAGGTTTAAGATATTCGACTGTGTTTAAAAATCACTTTTTAGTAGATGTGCAGTCGAAGAAAGTAGCTAAGAGCAATGTCTCTCTCTGGAACTCAATATGGCGTCGTAGAAATCAAATTGTAGAGGTAAAGTTTTATTTTTTATTGTTCTTTCTTTCGACAAGAGAGGTAAACCAAAAAAAAAAGGTAATATATTCCAATACGTATAGAAACAAAATTATGTTTAGCCAAACATGCTCTAATTTTAAGATTTTTGTAATATTTATGGTTAGAGATATTAACTTAGAATGCCAATTTTATTAAGGGTTCGTTTGATACCCTTAGTTTTCCAAGGAAAATGGAAAATTTTTCCACTTTAATGGTGTTTGATGAACCAAATTTTGCATGGAAAAATTTTTCTCACTTCTCCCTCGCGCGCCGGCTTTTCCTCATTTTCATGGAATTCCTTTTCTTTTGATTTTGGTAGGAATTCTGTTTTACAATTTTATTTTTTTTTTATATTTGCAATTGGAAAAAATTCTAGCATAATGGTAAAATTTTTTTATCACTTTTATTGATAATTTTCATATAAAACAAAGCCAAACAAATGATATTGGGTATGGTAATTTTTTTTAATTTATTTTTTGGTAATTTGAACAAATTCTAAACCCAATGGTAAAAAAATTATCATTTTAATGGACAATTTTCATGAAAAACAAAGTCAAACGAACACCAAACTTTCAACATTTTTCAAGTCGAAAATTATATCAATCAAACACAATTAATTATAATTTCCAGTAAAATAATTTATAACCAATTCAATTTCATATAATACATTTTCTTTCTACCCATTTTTCACATTTGTAATCGAACGGATCCTAAGATAAGTTGTTGAGCATATAATTTTGATATTTTCCTTATTATGCTCTTACCAAATTTGAGCCTTCATCATTTGATACGTATTTAGAGAAAAAAAAAAAAAAATTCTTTCTTGATCCCTTCTTTATTTTTTTCATCTAGGAAGTGTTAATTTTATATTTTTATGTTTTTTTGTCGTATTGGTTCTTGATTATTGGATATGATGGTCTATGTTTCTTTATTGTCACTTTCCGTTGATGATTGGCCGCGCAAGAATTTAAATATTACTATTTATCGTCCCATTTATATATTTTGAATATTGTTTTTATTTTTAAATATAATTTAAAATTAAAAAATTATATTACAACTAAATTTATATGTAAAGACCGTATTTCCCGTCTCAATTCTGACTATAATATTTTGCCATTCCCATTCTATGACCAAAAAAATAGGCACGTACATATTTCACCAAATATATTGACTTGTATATACACATACAAATTAAGTTCATGTTTGATGCATATTTTTGGAAAAAGAATGTATTTTTACTGTTGATGTGATGTAGAATATGTGGTTGAAAAAGAAAGAAAAGTTATTGATGTGGTTGAAAAAATGTATGTTTAAAAAGAAAATAAACGAAATGTATGTTTAAAAATGAGTAGAAGAATGAAAATGAAAATAATAATGTGGCTCAAACAAAGCCTAAACGAAAGTATATCTAGTTGAGGAAATTGCACCTAGACTTGATTTTAAAGTTTCATTTTCATAAATCAGATTTATAGTTTAACTTTTCAAAAATTAGGTTTTTTTATATCTAATTAAATAATTAATTAGTTATAAAATTTCATCCCAATTAATAATTTAATTCCAAAATCAAACCTAAATTTACATTCCTCTCGTCCCAGTTCTCTCTTCCTGTCGCTGTAGTCTCTTTTCTTCCTCTCCGTCGACTACAATGCTCGTAACCCATCCCATTTATGGCGGTGATGTCTTCTCTCCTCCCATCGCTGTTTTCTCTCTTCTCCTACCATCTCTCACCAATTTCTCTACTATGTCTCCGTTCTCCACTCTCTTCACACACGGCGACAAAGCCACCACCACCACCCACTGCATCTACCGCCATTGTATGTCTCACATGTCAAACCTCGAAGCGGCTTTCTCTGTCTTCTCTTCGGCGCTCAAAGCGCAACGGCACATATCTGAGCGCGGATCTATTATTTCCATCTGTATTTTTTTTTTTTTAAGTTTTTGAGTTTTGCTATGGCGGATCTGTGGGTTTGGTATTTTTCGATTCCATTTTTTGGTTTTGTTTGCATAGTGGTGTGATTTGGGTGGTGGTGGTGGTGGTGGTGGCGGCGA